AATAAAGAGAAGAAAAGGGGGGAGAGAGAGAGAGAGAACCTCACATTTCTTTCCTTTTCATTTCATCACACACATTTATGATATGTGAATAAAACCAAAGATAACCATAGTTTAAAGGCAATTCAATAATGAAAAAAATTGTTTCCTTTCAAGATTTCACTTATTCACTATTGGAACAATTCAATGTTTCTTTCCTATATTTTTTCTCTTTTGTATTATAAGAAGAAAATTCGATTGTTTTTTTTTTCTTTTCATTTAACTTTCAATCTTATTACCATTATTATTATTATTATTTGTGTTGTATGTTTTTTCCTTTGAATCTTTCTCTTCCTTTCAGCTTAACTTCACTTTCCCCATTTCAGTTCTTGATCACTCCCATACCTATTTTTTTATATTAATCCTCTAGGCAATAGTTTGCCATTTTTTTTGTTCACTTCCTCCCCTGCCCCCCCACCACCACCAAAGAAAAACAAATAGGAAAAACCAGTAAAAATTTCTTCTTTCTTCCACTTAATGCGAATTGATGAATCAATTATCAATAAAATGATGATCATGATGACGTTATCATTTGTTTGAAATTTCTATTTGTATGTGTGCGTGTGCGTGTGGGTGGGTGTACGCGCGCGCGCGCGGTTTTATAAAAATAAACAATCCTATTTATCTATAATCACATTTAAACTATCAAATGAACAATCATTTCTTCTAGTGTATCTAATCTAATTTTCTGTAATTACATTTACAATACAAACTATGATTTGAGTAATAATGTAATGTGAATATAAGTAAGAATTAAGTAGTATGAAAATGAAGTTCGATTTAAATAAGAAATTGAAGTTGAGTAAGTTAGTGAATAGTTAAATGGTTGAAACAATGTCAGTGTAAATATTTATAAAAAGAAAAAAAGTCTCTCATTCTTGTAAATTGAATTATGATGTTAAAAGATAAATTTTATTTGGAGTAAAAAAAAAGCAACCCTTGACTAATTCTATGGTAATATATCATAAAATGATCTGAGAAGTGAAACTAAGGGTGTGAAGGAATAATGAATTTTTTCTGAATTCATACAAGACTATTATGACGTTATTATCTAGACAGAATATTGTCTAATGAGTGTAGGAAATTAAATTTGGTGACTAAATTATTTTATTAGAATCATGAACTGATCTAAGTTAAATTACTAATGGAGAGTTAAAAAGCACTGAGAAGCTGTTTTGTTTTAGTATGGGACTTTTCAATAGTGCGCACATCTATGATCTTGAATTCGGATTCAAAACTTGAGGTTTCTCGTGCAAACATGCACTACTGAAGAATTCCATACTAGGATAAAACGACCACCCAATGCCTCCAGGATTTTAATAGTGGTCTAACTTAGATTAGTTCATGATTTAAATGAAATCTAACAATCTCCACAACTCCATATTGTAAAATTAATTGTTGGATACTTAATTCTATCCTTATAACTGAGAATTAGGCTTTACGATTAGAATTTAGGACTATGGTGTTAGTGTTTTGGATCATGATTGGTAATAATGTCGTAGAATTAGAATGTAAATTTTATAAACCATGGTTACACTTAGGGTTTGAATTTATGATTAAAGGTAATCATTTAGAACTAGCTTTTACAGTAAGTCTATAGCTGGTGTAAATCTTGAATATAAACTTTATATCCCAATCGTAATCTTACACATTATATGTACATTCTAATCTTAAACAATCCAATCATAATAGATAATCTTAAACTCTACTTACTAACTATAAATTCTAATCTTAACATTTAAAATCTATTTCTAACACCATGAATCATTCATTCATCTTTGTTGTTTTCTTATTGACTGGTGTATGCTTCAAGAATATGTCATGAACAGAACAGCAGTCCACTGCTTTCTGAGTTTTAATGATTATCTGATTTATGTCAGTTCGTGACCTCAGAAACACGTTAACATGTTAAGTAAGGACTAATTTCGAGAGAAAATTTCAGGGTTTCTAGTCAACAGCTTTGGCCGATGGAGTTCAACTATGTTGAATGTGAGTTAGCTACCAATCAAAGACAATAAAGGATAATTGTACAATATCACAAATTGATTTAAATTAGTCATATACACAATTAGGTCTGTGCCTAGTGATTTAAAGATCAAACGGTCGCCATAAACCTGGATTTCTTGGGTTCGATCCCAGATGAGGTTGTGGATGCGCACTGATAAGCAGTTTCATATTAAGATGAAACATCTATCTAATATTATCTGGCTTTTAATGAATATCTAAATTAGATTGGTTTGTGATCTTAATTAAAAGGTTTTATTTTATTCAAAAAAGTAGTAAGAAGCTCATTTTCAACATTCCTACTTCTACATTTTAACTCGTATCAACATGGCATCAACATTTCCTCCTTATACCTAACAACTATAGTAGCCTGAATAGTTACGTAACAGAGCCTCTAGTTATAGGAATGAATCATCTGCCTTTAATAGTATTAAAAGATATCGACTTCTATTTGATCTCGATCAAATAAATCAGATCAGAGAGAGAGAGAGAGAGAGAGGAAAACAAGACAGCACAACGTTCGTGATCCTTTATCGAGGGTATAAAGTTGAAATTCATTGTTATTCAAACCCAATTATCTGTTGAAGTCGAATAGAATACTAAAAAGAAATGAATAGGAATATTGTAGCATTCTTATTAACTGTTAATTGTTAGTTCACCACAAATAAGATCCAGGTTTTTTATAAAACAAAACAAAATATAATACTATTTAATCTATCAATAAGTAATATAGTTGACAAAAGTTTTTCTATATACAAATAATATGCAATTTGCTGCCATCAATCCATTAGAACATTTTTATTGTTTTTCTATTCAATAAAATATAAGCGAACCCGTACGAATTCCCAGAAAAATTCCACTTTTTTTTCTCCCACCAAATATATCCATATACTGAAAGAATAGTTTCTCTCTCTCTTTCTCCTTTCATCATGTTATTTTCGGTTAGCAATTAATTGAGCATGTTTAGGACATAAAGTGAATGTTGGATTAATAATAACGTTACTACTGTTTAAGGATGATTGATTTCCATGAGATTTTGATTTTTTGTTCATCTGAAACGATAAAAAAATAGGTTTAAAGATGACGTGATTTGTGAAAATATAGAATTTAATTTCTTTTTTTTGAGGGCGGGGGTATCTTTCAGCCCAATTCTTTGTTGTACGTAAAGTAGATTTGTGAAAACTGTAGAATCATGAACTGATTTTAGTCAAACCACCGTTGACGACCTTAAAGTACTGGACATCCATTTTGTTGTATTATGGAACTCTTCATACCGGGAATCAAACCCGAGACGTTCACTTTTTCATGAGAACCCCAAGACCCCTAAGCAAGAATATGACGATGTTAATGTTTAACTTCATTTAACTCGCTTTATTGCACAGCTCATGAGGTTGTGTTTGTGTATGAGATTGAATGTCCTGTGTTAGATTTCCGAAAGCAAAGGATTTGGATATGCATTGTTGAGAAATCTTATACTATTACAAAACGTTCGTCCAGTGCTTCCAGGTTTGTGGTCTCGGTCTAGCCAAAATCAGATCGTGATTTGAAGTGTGGGAACTATTTGTTTTTAGTTTTATCGAAATAACATTAATTCGGATTCATTTGGTGTTGTTTTACTTGTATCCTGCGATTGTTATTGAAGACTGCAATTGATCAGTCTCTTGTTGACATATATAGATTCTGTGCGGGTTGCCTCGATATAGCCTTAAGTCACAAGCTTTTTAAGCAAAGATGGATGGTGGATGGCAGTGGAATTCAGTTTGACGCACGTTTCGTCCCATTCGGGACTCGTCAAATGGATGTACCTCCATCGCGTTATCCACTTAGCTACTGCGTCCTGATAGCCGCCTGCTCGTGCAATGAGATGAAGTTTAAATTCACTTGGTGTTGTTTTACTGGTATTTTCCCATTGTTGTCTAGGTCTGCTATTGATCAGTCGCAATTGGTCAAACGCGATGTCGTTTGAGGCGGACGGTACTGGGTTCGAGTCCTAGAGTGAACGTCAACTCTGGGATCCAGTTGACGAGTCCTAAATAGGGCGAAACGCGCGTCCTGGATTCCACTACTAGCCATCATCCATCTTTGCTTCATATCAATTTGCTTTTAAAAAAATTCCAGTTTAAGACTTAGTCGTGCATAAATCACTCAGAACTTCACGCATCGGTAAGTCTTAATAATTAAAATTAATGGAGAACGATTGACAGATAATCTTGGTTTTACAAATTACACATTCACCTATCATGTTGTGTATGTTTTCAAAAGTAAGACGTTCTTCATTTGTCTTCATTAAAAAATGATTCCCTCATCAGTTTAGAGTAAACAGTTAGTATATCAAAGAAATTCAAAAACACTGAATGAACAATAATGCTGTTATTTTTGTATTTTTGTAACCCTATAATCCATATTCCATTCATTTGTTCAACACAATACGCTGATCTTAACCTTATGCAAATCTTTACTTGACTTAAATGTACGAAGAATTGGTTTACATCAAACTACATAGAATCATATCATGATATACTCCTCAAATATATAAACAGATCTTGACCATATAGAATTGTTGTTCGCATTGCAAATTGAATTTAGTAAAACAACCACTTAAAACTTTAAAAAAAACATCGAACTGCTCTTTCAACTTTGTATGAGATTCCTCAGTGGTGTACAGTCATAATCACAGTGGACTGTGAAACTGATTAGCCGACTACCAATGATTTGCATGCCTAACTTCAGGGTGCCGATTTCCATCCCTTGATGGGTTTGCTGATTCACACTATTAAGGAGTACCATCTTTAAACAAAACAGCTATTCAGTGATTCTTGTGTTTTCAACTTTTGTCTCATGATATTAATTATGAAACTCCAATATCTTTACAAACCTTTTTTTTTAGTAACAGAGATTTCAATCAAATTTTTTAAGAAAGAGAGATATAATTACAGAGATAATGGACGACATTGTATTACCTCATTCATTTTATCCACATATGATTGTTCATGATTTATGAATTTCTTTTGATCTGATAATACTGTAATAGATTGAGGATTTCTAATTAAATCATATTCTGATCTTAATATATATGAAGCTTTTATAGGTTTTTTAAATATTGTTTTATATACATCATTGTTACCATGGTAACTGTGATTTGTATTAGTGAAACTAATCTCCCCATAATCATTATCATCATAATCATTATCAACATCAACATCACTGTCATTATAACTATCATCATCATCATCATTGAAACTGTACAATGAATCATGTTTATGCATCATAACTAATTGATTACCGATTTTTCTAGCTTCCATTGTTTGACCAATAACAATTGATTGATCACCCGGTGAATATAATCCACCATGTTGACTTTTTTCATAAACAAATACAGTATTACGTTTTTTATAAAATATTAATACAATTAATCCTAATAGAATACTAATTGTTAAAAATAATATACCAATGATAATTAAACCAGCTAATGGTTTATCAATAGTATTACGAATACCTTTAACAAATGAATTAGTCTGAATTGTATTTAATTCAAATGGTGATTTGAATGTGATGATTTGATTAGAATTTCTATAAGACTGATTATTTACTTCAAATAAATTTTGATCATGATGAATAGTACTTTGTTGAAATGTTGAAATGGATGTATCATTTGTTGAAATTAAATTGATAGGAACCATTGTAGTGTTAATAATAGTTGTGACATTTTCAATTTGAGTAATAACCATTTCAGTAATCATAATTATTGTATTGAGAATAGATTTATTAATCTAAATAAGAATATTTTTGAAAGAAAAAATAATTATCATTAAATGTTTAAGAAAATGAAGCAATGGATGGCAGTCTCATTTTAGTATAGGAATCATCAACAGTGCTCATCCACGATCCCGTCCCCCGCGAAATTCGGACTCAGGACTTATCAGTCTCGCACGCGGACGCTTAACCTTTAGACCACTGAGCCGGCATTTAACAGTGTTAATGTCTAATTTCAACCAATTTACGTAATTGCGACACCGTCCACCATTGTCTTCAGTGAGTTACTATCTCACAACAGACCTGGTCGAACTCCACTGGTCACTGCTTCTCACTAGAATTCAATGAAATAACTCTTGGAGACAGTCACTAGTGAGCATACGATGATTATGATCAGAGAGGGGTTTTGTGGATATTATAATAATTTAGTAATTGAATTCATGAGTCAATTGAAGTTAGACCACTTTGGGAAACCTGGAAGCACTGATCGACCATTTCGTCCTATTGTGGGACACCTCAGGAGTGCGCGTCCACGATCCTGCTCGCGGGATTCGAACCCAGGACCTATTAGTCTTGCGGGCGAGCACTTAACCACTAGACCACTGAGCCGACATTCAACGGTGTTAATGTCTAACTTCGACTAATCCCACGAGGCGGGGTCGTGGATGCGCACTGCTGAGGAGTCCCACTATAGGACGAAATGGTCGTCTAGTGTTTCAAACTTTTCTATGGTGGTCTAGCTTCAATTGACTCATGATCTCTACTTATAATAATGTGCATAGATCAATTACAAAACGTCTGATGAAACACGAATCTCCATTTTGATGTTAGGTTTTTTTTCAATAAATAAACTAGGGGGGGGGCGAGCAAATCATCTATAAGTAAAATCAAAAAGCCTATTAACAATAAAATACATTTTATTTCAATCAGGATGTACAGCTTGAATTTCCCAAGGGAAAATTGTTCTTCTCTCACCATAATAATCATAATAATTATTGGTTTTTCTACAAAATAATCTATTTCTTTACTATTGTTATTGTCATTACCTTAATGTTAGTAATTATATCACTTGAGAAAACTACTTTCTACATTGAATGATTGATTTGATAATCAAAATTGAAGTATAACAATAAGTGTTGGTATGGATGTGTGTGTGTGTGCGCGCTAGCAGCTTTATGTTTGTTTTTATCTACCTTTGAATTTGAAACATGTTTTCATGTAAACCTCTTGTTTCCACGTTAATTATTATTTATGAAAGAAAATATATAAATATCTGTTATGGAACGTGTTTTCTAATCTTTTCCTACGACAAAGAATTGTTGTTGTTAATGTCCCTCTAGAAACAAAAATGTCACTTGAAAAATTTCTATTGTTTCCAACCCCCCCTCCTCGCTACCGCTCTCAATTTATGTTTCAGATTAGATAAAAAGATGTTACTGAATACAATTACGATTAAGTTTTTTTCCCCAGTTTATACTTTTAATGTGAGGCAACTGTTTAGAGTGAAACAGATTATCCAATATTCAATCATTAAATCACAGGTTTGAAACCGTGTCTTGATTACTTATAGTTTAGTCAGTCCAATAGCATTTTGATCACACACACACACTCTCCCTCACACATACATACATCGGAACATATCTCAAAGACAAGTGCATTTACATTTACTTAGCCAGATTAACAGAAACACTAAAACATTCACGTTTTCTTTTACGGAAAGATTATGAGTTTCTAGAAACATTTGTTAAAGTCACTAGATTGAATTCTTCTGTTACTTATCACACTGACATATATAAGTATCATGTTTCTATTATGGTGATCCACGAGATCATTTAAATTTTGTTAGCGGTAATAAAATGTTATTAGAAATCATAAAATCAAGCCCCCTTTTTCTAGTTCAATTTTCTATATAACCTTTGCTTTTTTCTGATTGGTTATTTTTTATACTTAAAGGTCATGCTTTCGTTACCATGTATATGAAGTACCATTTCATTTTGTTCTGTTTGTTTTACTTTAAATATTGAACTTCCGTATCATTTGTTTTTTCCATGTGTTGTCGGCTAAGCAGTGAATTGCTGTGTACTAGTTGCAGTTATCATTTTACTTCATAGAACCGGCCACATTAGAGTGGCTTAATCGTTCCTAAATCTATAAGTATTGTAGACCTATACTGAACCACAATTATCAAGATTTAACAGTTTCATTTTTATGTATAATATATACTAGTATAATGTAGATAGTTATTTATGTTCACAATGATATTATATCGTTGACTGGTGTTATCAGAAGATAAGGGAAGATGATCGCGCAATATTATGGATTGATTGAAGTTAGACATTAAAACCGGTTGACATCCGCTCAGTAGTCTAGAGGCTGAACCTTCGTGCGAGACTTGAGGTCCTGTGTTCGAGTTCTATGTGCGGGATCGTGGATGCTTCCTGCTAAGGATATCTATATTAGAATGAGACAGCTGTCCAGTGCTTCCATCCTTTAAATTGTTGTCCAACTTAGATCGGTTCATGATTTCAATGATATTAGTTGTACAGAATAGATATTCATTTTTAGTTCGATACTCTTTAGCAGTATCTATACACAACCACAAACAACGCCAATGAACCATGAAGTATTGCGTAAGATTAGCTAACGTTTAGTTAATGCATTTTGGTTGAATTAAATCATACTCAACATTTAACTCAATCAACTATGCATGCGTAATTCTACTAAAAATTTGAAGGAAGCTTTGATTCCAAAGGCCGAATAATGAAGAGTTACTTATTGTCTTGCTCTAAAATTAGTTGACTTCATTAAGCATAGCTTTGCATTGAAAAGGCAGAAATTCACTAAGAAAAACCATTCACTAGTATGCAGATGTTTACTTAAATAGATAAGATTTTCATTGTGACTGTTTGAATTGAAGATGATTTAACTTACAAACTAAAATTATCTGCAGTCCTTAAAATTCAAAAACATCAGTTTCCAATGTTGCCGTGCACGATATCGCTCTTAGATGCAAAATAGTTGCTACTAGGATATCCTAAAGCAGTTCAATTATGGTCCGACTAGCTCGGTGATAGTGTCTCAAAATATGAAGTTGTGTTACAGAAGTTTAGATATCATCTAGGGTTTCAGTATCTTCAAAATCCCAAGTATGATTAGCTGATGAGTGCCGACTATCACAAGACCTAGGCCAATACAGGGTTTTCTACCGTGTGTTTTCAAAAACCTAACATCAAAACATATTGTAAACCATGTCATGCCATTTAGACTCGATTTTATATTGCAACTAGCTCGATAGGATTCGATCAACAGGACTAAAGGACTAGACAAACATAACATTAACCACTACTCAATGATCAGCTAATTGATATAATTCTTCACTTTAACGAAGATTTTCCGTAAATCCTTTAATCCTAGTAAAAATTCGCTTAGTTTCAGATTTACTACGTCTAGTTTTAGTCCTTATTAGTCAGTGAGTGACAACGTAGAATCGTAATTGTGACATTGAATTATCAAATGAAAATCTGATAGGTTGAACGATTAAAGATATCGTATGCCTGTGCTCACCTTCCGTTCCAAATTCACACAGTGGATGTGAACAAGTTACACTGTTTGGGAAAGTCAATCATACACCTAGTTGAAAGTCTCAGCCTACATGTCCCCCTATCTAGGTCAGAAAAGCAATCTAACTTGCAGATATCGTAATTTGCTTTTGCAAATCACACCTTTCTAGATAGTTTTCAGTGGACTCTTACTCATAGCTTAGAGGAGACGTACGTATCTAAATCGGACAATGTCGATAAATAATAACAAAACCAAACTTGTGATGCTTACTTATGCTCTTTGTTCCAGGTAAAAATAAAATTAAGAATTGTGTACAATTTCATATTTAGTCATATTGATCAAATGGTGTAGTATCGTTATTCTGTTTGATTTTTCAATTAGTAAGATTCATTACATGAAATTTCAGGGTATCTTAAATTATGTTAACTAAATTGGACTGGAAAAATTAAAGCATAATACATATGCGTTGTCCAGTAAGTAGACAAAGAATGGTTCTGCACTAGGATTCTATATTCAATAAGAATTTTAATAGTTGAGATCATGAGTCAGTTGAAGCTAAGACCACCATGGAAAACCTGGAAGGACTAGACTGCCATTTTGTTCTACTATGGGACTCCGTTGGATGCCGGCTCAGTGGCCTAATGTTTAAGCGCTCGCGCGAGAGACTGATAGGTCCTGGGTTCGAATCTCGAGAGGCGGGATCGTGGATGCCCATTATTGAGCAGTCCCAAACTAGGGCGAAACGGCCATCCAGTGCTTCCAGGTTTTCTATGGTGATCTATCTCCAATTGAATCATGATCTCAACTATTGAAATTACGATAATATCCACAAAACCCCTTCTGATATCAATAATAAATGTTTGACAATTCTATGATTGAGTTTAATTGAATAGAGTTTTAATATATAGGGTGGTATTCATCTCAGATGAATCTTAGGTGGAGTACTATTGCAAACCAAAGAGTACTAGACTGCTGTATTGTCTTCGTATCAAGCTCCTCGGTAGAATGTATATACGACCCGCTAGTGATCGAATTCGAGGCCTTTAACTCTCTCTCTTTCTCTCTCTATGAGTCCCCAGAGAATCATTACAAAACAACTTCATGAATACTAAACGTTAAGTGATTGAATTTTCGGGATCTTTTAAAGATAACATTTAGAATCTTGCTTAGAATTGAATATGAATTAGAAAATGTATCATTATTTGCCTAAATAACAATCAATACAAAGTCATTGTTTACTTCCTATAATCAATTTTAATGTATATGAGCTTTAAGTTGTTTTTTCTAACTTGTTTATATTTATAAATAATAGATAAGTCATGTTCAATGTGTTCAATATATCTTAGAAATAAATTTAGGTGAAATCATTTCTCAATGATGTATATTTATATTAACACTAAACAGTGTTCAATTTTTAGATTGTAAA